CGGGCTGCAGGGGAGGGAGAGGCCGCCGGCTCGCGGGGACGCCACCAGCAGTGAGCAGCGAGGAGTTGGTGCGAGAGAGCGGGCCCGGCAGCTGGAAAGGACTGAACGCCTTGTTTTTGAAACTGTCAATTCCCTCAACCCCTATTGTGAGGGCTTCATGCAAAACATCTCAGGCCTTTTAAAGTAGGAGCTTGTGAGGCCGCCACAGTTTGAAAAGGAGCGAGAAAGGAGCAGGGGCCTAGGGCTTGGGCTAAGAATGATAGCGGAGCCCCCCTCCCTTTTTCTTTCTTTCTTTCTTCTTCTTCTTTTTTTTTTTTTAATAGCAAAAGAGGGTCTGCCAAACAGGTAAAATGCTGCCCTCCCCCCACCTCCTAGCACGGCCCTACGTCCCCACCCCCAGGCTAGTTTGCAAAACGCCCTTTGGCCTAGGGAGCAAACCAAAATCAAAGCTCGCATTAAAAATAGTTCTTCCAGGAATGGGAAAATCCCAGGGAAGACCAGGGCGAGCGGGTGGACTCCCTAAGGTGAATGCCCTGTTCCTCCATGCCCATTTCCTGAGGTTAGTTGATGGGGAGCCTTTAATTTTTACCCCTAGTCTGGCTCTAGAAACTCCCTTTTTCACATCCTTTTCAGCAGGAAGTTATTTGTAAGGTGAAGCAAAACTCACCACATTTTTTTGTCTTTTGTAGATGCTAATGCTTTATTTTTTAATGTGTTTTTTTAAACATGAGGATTCTCATTTTCTTTGAAAGAAAAAAAAATGCTTTTGAGGAATTAGTCTACATCTCTCCTGCATGCAAACAAAACTATCATTCTCATATCAGCAGAAACTTCCAATTCTTGGGACTGGAACTTTGAGGAATTTCTACAGTCACTCAGACACAGATAAGATAAAAATCCACACACCAGCCCATCTAGTTTGTGTTATTGCTGTTTAGTGGTGGCTCCTTGTTGTTGATTTTAAAATAAACAACCATTATTGAGATTACTCCACTGTAATCAAGTAAGCCAGTAGGAAAGAACACCCACTTTAAAAAGTAAATCATTGAATAAGAGCAAGCTGCCTTTTCAGAAAAGGCAGATAACCTGGCTGTTGAAGACAGACTACACACATCTCTTTAAAAAATAATTAAATCTTCATCTCACAATCTTATTAGGAAACTACTTTTCTAGGAGACCCAAAATAAGCTTCTTTCCTCAAAAAGTCAGAGAAAGAGCCCTTTCCTGCATTTTCCTCATGTCTTTCAGTGTTGAGCTTTAGACACAGGAATCAACACTCAGTACTCCTGGGACCATATAGTGCCTTTTAAAAAAATATTCTATCACCTGAAAACATTTAAATGTAAAAATGCAATCTGTCAATGGAGGTAAGTTTTGTTTTTCTCTCAATAAGGCTTAAATTTTTGAACAAATGGCACATTTATAGTATCTTAGGAAATCTAGATATTGTCATTAGTCATAAGACAACCAAAATGAAATAAATTGTCCTAAGAATAATTCCCACAGCAGAATGGGCAAACAGCTAAGGGGCTACCAGAAATTGAAAGAATACCTTGTATTTGCAAGTGGCTGAATATCATTTGGTACACTTTCCCAACAGAAGCCCCAACTCAAAGTTTTGCTGTGGTTGGCTGGCTTGTAGGAGTACTGTGGGATGAAATTTGTGTTGACTACTTAATTTCTTTCCTTTTGATGGTATCACTCTGGAATGCCTGGGCCTCCATGCTGCTCATTCTCCAGCTCCCATAAACCGAAAATACTGATTCTCTGAGGGCTGGAGACCAAGTGTCAAAGCTGGAGGCTGATATTTTATGTCAGAAATTCTATAGGGTATATTTGTTTTAAAGCATGCTTACTCCATCTCGTGGTCCCCCACACCCAAGATCTGTAGGCTTCAAATATATTCTCAATTTATAATTTTATAACAGTGATTCCATAACCAATAAGAAAAGTCCTAGTCTAAATATAATGGTCATCATATTTTGAACTTTTTTGACTTAGCAGTAATTAAAGACTGGAAATGACAGACTTCCAGTGTGTGCATGTCACACTTTTTACAGATTGATTTTGTAAGACAACTCACTGCACCCAATGTCTGTATTGCCTTCCAAAGAGGAAAGAACGCAGACTGAGAAGCCAATTGTTCAGCTTTCTGGTGCTTTAACTGTAACTTGTACTGGTCTTTGGAATTATGCACAAACATGAAGTCAAGGATAACATCCCCCAATTTTTGCTTTTACCATATCTATCATGCCAATAAAAAAGGATCCAGTGCACTTACATCTGGCAACATTCAAGAAGGAAAGGAAGGGAGGCAGTTCAAAGCATCTGTTTACTCCATCCAAATGTATTTGGATGCAGGTATGCTCAGCCTCTGTCTTTTACAATAAGAGTCAAACCACAGAGCATATACAGCAATTAGGGCTGAGATCATCCAGATCTATCTGAAACATTTATAGACAAAAGAAAAGTTTCAAAGGGAGTAGGAATTAAAAGGTTAAGGGGGGGGGGGGAGACTGAATTTCCATGAGAAATAGTGACTTAAATTCACACAGTAAACATTTCATTGATGTTTTGTTTTGTTTTGTGATTTATGATCTATAGATGCAGCTCCTTAAGTTTCAGATGGCAAAGATCTGAGATACATAATTTGTGAGGCTAAGGGAGGTGGACCAAAATTTATTAGATGTAACTTTCATTAAAATAGCAGTTGATCTCTGCTTCACTTTCTTAAACCTGAAACTTTTTGCACTTGCTTTGTACCAAGTTTATAAAGTTTTGTCCTCATTTAGGAAGAAATCTACCAGTGTTTTGCACAGAAACTCACTGGCATCATCAAATGGTATTACAACAAAACACTACACCCAATAAATGCATTTCTTTCAGGCAAAAACATTACAAGTGAAAATGTCAACAAAACCATTCATTTCTGTTAACCATTCTTCAATCTGGAATAAGTAGAAATGTATGGAACCAGGAATTTTAAACAGTGCTTTTAATTGAAAATAAAGCTAAAGCATGCTTTTCAACAGTGCAAATTTCCATAATTTTGATTTACTGCTTCCATCATCACAACATAGTACACCAGCATGGCCCTTACCAAGGGCTAGACCCTAGCCATTTGCATGTTGAACTACTTTGATTTTAAGTGCAAACATAGATAGTCACCTCTGATTGTCACTTGCAGTAGAAACTCTCCTGCTCTATACACAGGATGGTCTGAAAACAGAAGTTTAGAGAGATGCAGAAAAAGTAAAATGTAATAAAATCCAAGTGCCTGAGTTCTAGTACCAAAAAGCCCTGAAATAACTGTTATTTTTGATTTGGGCTTTCTTATAACTCTGATTCATTTTACTTTTCTTGGGAGTTTTTAATGCTTTGACACCATGAGGAGTCAGACCATAAAATATCCTGCTCTAAAGAGAAATATTTTAATTGTTTTGCAAGTTTGAATTTTAATTGTTTTGCAAGCTTGAGGAGTCATGTTCAGACTACAAGGTAAGCAGGACGAAGGTACTAGTCACTTTATGTAAAACCTTTGGGTGAGAACACAAAAAGGACTCTTCCAATTGCAAGGAGTGGCTGTAAAAGTAAAATCACACCCTTTACAAAAGAAATGCAATCTCATATTTATTTTACTCGGTATATATGAGGCAGCTTTTACCAGCATTCAATCAGGACTCCCCATCTTTCCACTCAAAAAAGGAAAAATTAAGTGCAACTACTTTTGGAGAGGGAATGAGGGGAGAAAAGGAAAAAGATACCCCACAAAGGAGCTCCAGAAGAGAACATTTTGGGCTCACAGAAACTTCTTGCTACCTCACTGTGTAACTATGTAACCTAACAAACTTTCACTGAATGAAGTTACACTTTCAGGTCTGAAATCTAGTGCATAAACTTAATGGCTCATTGTAATATTTATTATTCAACCTTTTGACATTTATTTGTAGCAGTTGAATTGAGGTACCGGGTGCATTATTAGCATTAAAACAGTAAAGTGTTCCAGCTCTACCGTAATAACTGAGTTTTACTTGAGTCTTTAGCCTGAAGTAGTCTGTGGAATGTAAACCAAGCATTCTCCCACCCCACCCCCACCCTACTACAAAAAAAAAAAAAAACACACACACACAAACCCACAATGGGAAAAAAAAAAGTAATCCGATTTCTGTCTTCAAAATGTGATAAACCAGGACTCCAAAAGGGGTGTAACATATTAATGGACTTGTACAAACCATCCTGTGCAGTTTACAACAAAAGGAAGGTAATATGGTTCAAGAAAATATCTTCCAAAACACTTTTATGAATTAAATTTCCTGAATTTGTGACTAGGTGGAAGAGGTATTGCAGAACCGCCCAGCTGCCATTTCCAGATAGGATGGGCCTTGTGAGGAGGTTGGGAATCCTTAGTGGTGTTTAAGGAATATGCAGGCCACAAATCCCCATCCTTCCCAATAGTGAGTGATGGTGGACAAGGAAAATTTGCCATGAAATTAAATGGCCTTTTCACTGCTGACGCTACATTGCTGGCTACCTTTTTGCGTCTGTTTATAACTGTAAAATCATCCAGTGTTCCTTCATGTGTCTCAGTTTTACCTGTAGGACGAGGACTTCTAGCTGATTTCAAATTTGGTTTGACTGTAGGTGTCTGAAGTATAGGTCGCTTTCCCAGGACTAGTGTCCGGTAATTTTTTCTCACCCTGGCACCAAATTTATATTCCCCATCCTCAGGTTTTGGAGAACCTAAAGTGCATGAAAGGCCCTGTCTCAGAGCCAGTGGCTTTAAGGAAGGAGTTTCTTCTTCAGGGCATGCAAACCCTTCCTTGGCTGTGGTTAGCAAGGCATCCTCCTCTTTACTCCCAGTCACACTGTAAAACTCACCCTTTGTATCATTGCACTCGCACTTTAGCTTATTTGTAATAAGGTCAGGTTCATATTCTTCATTAGCACTATTGTCTTCAACTTTGATTTTAATATTGTGCAGAAGTGGCAGTGTCTTGTCGCCTGTGTCAGTGCAGGGATTCTCTGCTTTCGTTGCTGCTGCTGCATCCGCTCCAGGATCAGTCTGCAAAGAGGGCAAATCCGTAGCAAATTCAACACAAGGGGGGATTTTGGAATCTTTTTCTGACTTTGCTGCTGCTAGTGAAGAATCATTGTTGAAGAACCTAGCAGCTATTGTGTTGTTATCTGCACAGTGTGTAGTAGGAGTTGCTTGCAGGCATTTCCTAGTTTCTCGGAGTATTCTTTGTTGTGGAAATACATTGTTTGTCTTTGGGCTAGGTGAAGAGTCCCCCTCTGCCAGGCAGTTAATTGTCAGGTCAGTTCTCTTTACAGTACTGGAAATTTCAGAGTGTGGGAATGTAATCGCAGATACCCTATCGTTCCTTATCTCTGTGAAACAACTCCCCAGGCTGGCTGAGCAGTACACCGGAGACGGTTTGGGGGCCCAGCTCTGCAGAGGCCATTCCTCCGCTGACTCCGCTTTGACACTACTCTTGAGGTCGGGAAGTCGGCCGGCATCCTCGAAAGCAGCGGGGTGGGTTGCAGCGGCGGCGGAGGCCAGATGGTACAAGAAGTTGGCCTGCGCCTGCACGCTGGGCGGCTTGCAGAAGCTGGTGCGCCTGAAACGGATGCTCTGCACTGACACTTGGCTGGAGCCAGAGCTGGAGTCCGATTCCGAGGATGAATCCTCCTCCTCCGAGCTGACTTCACTGGAATCCGAGGCCCCAGTGACCCCCTCCTCTTCCTCCTCCTCTTCCTCCTCCTCCTCTCCCTCCTCCTCTTCCTCCGAGGACACAGAGTTGCTGGAGCTGGACAAACTGGAGCCAAAATCGGAGTCGTTGGCTGCGTGGTCCGAGTAGGAGCTAGACTCCGAGTCGCTGCTGCAACTCTCGGGAAAGCTGTCCAGATGGGGCTGCGGCCGGTGGTGATGAGGCGGGTGGTGACTCTGCAGCGGCTGCTGGGCCCGGTGGTGGTGGTGGTGGTGGTGATGGTGGTGGTGATGGTGGTGGTGGTGGTGGTGGGGAGGTGGGCAGAAGCTGTTAATCAGATGAAACCTTTCCAGGCAAGTGGCCCCGGCGGCCGCCGCCGTGGCCGCTTTGGCTTTGTAGGACCTGGGCAGCAGC